GACCGTGGTACGGTACTGGACCGGCCGGCAACACAGTCTCACGACTCGACTGTGCCGTGCGACCGCGACCGCAACTGACGACAAGCAAATTTCAGAAGTAGGGAGGCATGGGTGCGATCGCGCAACGTAACGGCGACGGGTTCACCGCCATGTACAACGGACATGACACATTTGCAGCAGCACAACAACTGCAGCAGGTGAAAGATGATTGGTTTATGTACGTTGTTAAGAGCGTTAGCGAGGAACATCATTCACATGGATAAGACAGTAGTATTAGCCTTATTCCTCGGAGAAAAAGGAGGAGAATGGAGATATAGTTGGGTTGATATTTCGGTACCATGCCTTTATCGAAATAATAGCTGAGGTGATTGCAGATACAGATGGTGATATGCATCAGCAATGGACTGAAATCTAACTGTAACTGATTTGTCGCGAACGGCTTCCACCTGTCTGTGAGCTACTTGATTAGCCCCGCCCCCGAACAGCCGTGTATTCAGAGCGTAAAACAGTTTTGTACGCATGCTATGAAAGGGCTCCATTCTGTTGATTGTACATGGTATTTCCCAATAGTGATGCACTTTGGGCGTCTCAAAGCGTCCAAATAAGACTGTTTTCACGCTTAAACGGATTAGGCCTTCTCTACCTGCGGCACTTAATACAATTGGGGCCGTCGATAACGCTTCTGGATGAAAGGTACCGTTTGGATGGGAATAACTACTGGTGATACGGTATTGTAGCGATTGTACATTGTTAGTCGCCACAAAGTATACGCTACAAGTGCAACTTGTTAACCGCTTTACCCTGCGAGCTTATTTGTGACTGAAGCTTGCAAAGTGGGGGGGTTCTGTTTGACCAGCTGTGTATTTCTCCTGCGCCAGCCCATGTCTGAAACTGTAGCCCTCTGGATTCCAGCGTATTAAGCAGTGGGCTTCCGAACGCTACTTCCGAGAACATACGAGCTGGACTTCGCTGGCGCATAGGGACCCTCTGTATTCTCAGATGCCATAGTTTGATTCCTGCTTTCGCCCTAGTCGCATCAAAAGACTTCTGTCCCACTTGTTATGCAGGCCTGAGCCGTGTCCAGTTGATATCACGACGTCCATTCCAGCGCGCGCTGCGCAGGCATTTTGAACAAACACGAAGCACCGCCAGCGAACTGAAACACTTGTAGCTCCGCGCCGGTTGTGATGACTCGTCGCTGCTAGCGCACCACGTTTGTGTGGTTGACGCACCACTCGTCGCGGCTGGCGCGCCACATTTGTGTGGTTGACGCACCACTCGTCGCGGCTGGCGCGCCACGTTTGTGCGGTTGACGCACCACTCGTCGCGGCTGGCGCGCCACGTTTGTGCGGTTGACGCACCACTCGTCGCTGCTAGCGCACCAACGTTTGTGTGGTTGACGCACCACTCGTCGCGGCTGGCGCGCCACGTTTGTGCGGTTGACGCACCACTCGCCGCGGCTGGCGGGCCACGTTTGTGCGGTTGACGCACCACCCGTCGCGGCTGGCGCGCCTCGAGTTTGAATGGCCAGCGTTTCTGTGACGGGAACGAATGGCGGCGGGGACAGAGGGCAGCCCTGGGTGTGGACCTCTGAAGGGCCCAAACCTTCAGAGGAGATTGTGACCGATATGAAAAATAGCCAGTTTCGTATTCAATGTGCAACAGCTGTATTCACTGGATAAAGGTGGCATCGAAATTGAGCAAATGCAATTGCCGAGCGAAGGAAACCGTGTGCAACCGTGTTATATGTCACTCAGATGACATTAAGGGTACAAGTATAGGCTCGCCCTTAGTTATCACATTTGCCCTTATTTACTTCTGACGGTTTTCTGAGCGCGCCGCCCGCACCGCAAGCTTCGCTTAGAAAGACTCTCAAAATCGGTGTCACAGGGTCTGATATGTTGCGGGGGCCGAATGAGCCTACCCATATGGATTTTAATCGAAGTCTAATGCATGAAAGGGATTAATTCATAACTGTCAACACCATCGGATCACAAAGGTCAACATCATCAGTGCTTAGACCTCAGCGCACTAGTTCACAATGGTCAGCACCATAGCTCCTTAGCGGTTGGCGCCGTTGATCCATAACAGTCAAACACCGCCAGGCCATAATGACCAACATCTTTAGTCCATAGCACTCAAACTATCGGTCCACAATGGTTAGCACCGCTAGTGCGTAACGGTGCCGCAACATGAGTCCGAAATGGCCTACACCTTTAGTTCATACGATCTACATCATCATTCTGCTTAGCGGTCCACATCGTCAATCCATGGCGGTCAACGACGTCAATTTGCGTAACGGTCCATAACAGTCAGCATCACCAGTCTATGGAAGCTAAAACCCTCAATCCGCATCGGTCAACACATCAGGTCTGAGCGGCCAACACAGTCAGTGCGAAACGGTCAAAATCATCCGTCCATAACAGTCGATACCATTAGTTTATATAGGTGGACGCCCTTACCCCGCAGCGGCGCACATATCGGTCTGTAGCGGACAACACCGTTAATTCATAACGGTCGAGATAATTGATCGATCACTGCAAACACCTTTGATTCACTGTGGTCAATAGTGCAATTATATGGCTGCCGGCAAAACCATCAGTTCCGTAGTAGAAACCCAACAGCTCACACCATCAGTAAGCAGCGGTCAACATCCTTGGTGCACAGCGATCATTTCAACAATCTGTAGCGGTCAATGCAATAGTCTGCATCGGTCAGTCCAATAGTCTGTAATCGTTAATGTATTCAGTCCATAACGGTCAACACCATTACTTTGCAATGGTCAACACCATCAGGCATAACTGTCTAAACGATAAATCCACAACGATCAACACCGGCAGTCGGTAACGACCAGCACGATCAAATGCAACGGTAGGCACTACACATACGTGGCGATCAATCCCTTAAGTCCCTGGCTGACGACACTATCTGTTCGGAGCGGTCAGCGCCGCCAGCGGGTAACAGTCAACACCGTGTGCTCGTAACGGGCCAAACTGCCTGTCCAGTACGGACAAACTATCGCTAGTGCAGGCCGACAAAAGCTCCCCACTAAATATTCATCGATGCTATGTCCTTCTATTCCTAATTTCTCCGCCGGTGTATCCGCTGTTGATGCGTTCCTGGTCAGGGAGACGCCTAACGTCCTGGACGCCCAGGCTTAGCAGACGATTAATTACAAATCACTGAACAACCTTGACTGTTTCTGACAGTGAATGACATTGGCCTGTGCGAGTTACACTAACACCTGACAGCAAACTCCAGACGCATTCACCTTTGTGTTCTACTGTATCTACTACGCCCCCTCGTCCTCGTAGCTGGCTGGAGCCGGCGGCATTCGGAAGCACTCCACGAAATCGTTTGCTTCTTTATTACCCACTTAGCTCATGAACAAGGTCAGGCTACCTGAAAAGTCGCTCGGCAAATGGGAACAGATGGGAGGCCCCGTTTAACAACGCAGACACGCTATCAGTCTGACGAAGTGCACTCCCGTGTCGAATGGCTTCCAAGGCAAAGAGAAAAAGAGCAGACCGGGCTGACAGTTAGGTGAAGGACGTGAACTGATGAAGTGACGGTTATTTTGTTGGCATGCCGTAGCTGGGGACGAGAGCTCTAGGCTCTCTCCTCGGGGCAGCGCTGGTCAGTTTGTTTCTGGTTTCTTGTCAGATCTATAGCCCTGGACTTGAGACGCAGCACAGACTTTTCGCCCGTCCGATCAAGAGCTGTTCGTGCTAGGTATTGCCTATTCTTTGGCGTCCTCCAGTGAAAGGTATTATCGTCTTTGGATAGGGACGCGGGATTGAGTAAGATCCTCTGATCAGGGCTCCAATGTTTGTTTTAAATTTTAACTTATAGCCTTGTGTCAACACTTTCGTTCATAATCGTATGAACGAAGGACCAGGTGTGCAATGTCTTACCACCTTCCTTGGAAAACTTAGCACTAGCCTTGGGGTGATGCATGGAAGGAATTGTCGGCGAAAGGAGGCGTTACCCCACCCTTTGTATGCTACCGTCCTTCGTTGCTATGGCTCTGACTGCCTTCTTCAACTTCCTTCTTACATCTAAAGACAATGCAACTGGTAACAACCATTATCAGTTGTTGAAGAGAAACAGAAGATCTTCCAAACTCACCTTGCTCACTTCACATCCGACGGCGACGCAAGGTATGCGGCAGGTGCCGTTACTGATACTTTCCTTCTGCTAAAGATGTGAAAGCTACACCACTGACAGCACGACCAGAAACTAGTAGCCAAAATGCACTTAGGCTTCCGCCCCCTGATTTAACTGCTTAAACACAATACTAACTGCCCATAGATTGAGAAGATTAACTAGATTAACGGAGGCCCAAGTTGTTGGCGAATCTTATCGTCATTTCATGATTGCCAACACCACCAGTCCATAACGGTCAACACTATCAGTAGATAACGGTCAACACCATCAGCCGGTAATGGTCATCAGCACGAGTTCGTAACAGCCGGGAAGACGTCAGGTGGGTGATGGCCAGTCCGCAACGGTCAACACCGTCAGCACGTGACACAGTTCTCCGCCATGCCACTGCGACCGGCGCTGCCAGTTCTTACCGGTCAGCTTGGCGAGTACATAGAGCGGTATTTACCATTGTCAGCATCTTCAGGCGTATGCAAGTTAGGCTGAGTAACATCCAGCCCCTTCTATAAATAATTTTTCACTCGTGTATCCGGTACTAACGTGTCCTTGGAAACTTGTTTAGTTTTGTTATTGATGCCCTTGTTGTGTTCGTTTATATCAGGACAATATAACCGAGAATGTGTTTGCGTGTTCGCTCTCTGTTTTTTGTACCTAGTTTTTTGATGCTGCGATTGTCATTAGACATGGATCGCCGATGTTTTTACTTCGAAAGTTATGCTGAGCAGCGCAGCCCGCGGTCAGGCTCAGGTGGAGGTGGACGACCTTCCTCGCCCGCCAGATAGTAGCCGACATCCTGCCACGTACTGAAGTTCTGGCCACGGCTGTTACAGGCTACAGCGAGGCCTGTGCGGCAACAAACGACTATCTCCGCCTGACGGACGGCCAGCTGATACAGTGGATGCGACCCAGCGTCACCAGGGACATGCAGAACCGCACCATTCGGCTCGGCGTGAAGGAGGTGCGGGCCGCTCTCCTGCCCGGCCACCGCGCCACCAGGTGGCCGCGCGGGACCACATCAGACGATGTACATCCGTCAGGCATATATATATATATATATATATATATATATATATATATATATATATATATATATATATGTGTGTGTGTGGTGTGTGTGTGTGTGTGTGTGTGTGTGTGTGTGTGTGTGTGTGTGTGTGTGTGTGCATGGTATGTTCGATCTGGCGCTGATGCAAATTTGGTGAGGAGCACGTTTGGTCACGGTGAACATGCGCCACCGAGTAGCTCACTTATCATCGCCAGTTAACTGCATTAGGCTGGTGCCATTGGCACAATGCCACAATGCTCAGCGTCATCCGTCCATTAGTTTTAAGCCAATCCCTAGAGAACTCCAGGGAAGCCCCTGAGGTCCCGTTTGTCCAGCGGGAAATGGCCTAGCCAGGTCAAACGTGGTTTGTCATGCCTGGGCCTTCAGCTGATCTTGGCTGGGCATCCGTGTTTCCGTCCCAGATGCCGACTGCCGCCTATCTGAACTCGACACAGCAGCCAGACCGCTGGTCGTTCCGCGTCATCAACATCCTGGCGTCCGTCTACAACTTCACGCCGGAGTACGTACCGTCGGCGAATCCGAGCGGCGGCGTCCCTGACGCGGCCGGCGGCTGGGGAGGCCTCACCGGACAGCTACTCAGGGAGGTGAGCGGTCCCAGACAGCTTCCCACAAGACAGATACTCAGGGAGGTGAGCGGTCCCTGACAGCTCCTGCAGGATACCTGGTCAGGGAGGCGATTGGGCCGCCTAGAAGCACAGCCCACCAGATAGCTGTCCAGGGA